CCATCCCTAAGGTTCGGCCCTTCTTCTTCGGAGCAATCTACAAATGGAAAATAAAAACGTTAATTATTTATTAAGTAATAAATATAATAAATTTTAAAAAAATTGAAATAGATCATACCTCTTCGAAAATCTGGTCTTGCTCAGCGACGGTCAACGGTACTTGGTTAGTACCGTCATGTGTGGCCTGGGTCTCCCGCTCAGCGATCCGCTGCATAGCGGCATTGTAGATCTCCTCGGACCAAGCGTCGACAAAGCTCCCGTCCCTCTTCCGGTGAGTGGTCTCGAAGAGCTTCGTCATTGGAGGTAGTTCTCCTCCGTTCTCCTCGGCCTATCAATTAATAAACATTAGTCAAAAATATTTAATAAATTATAGTTATAATTAAAATTAAAATAATAATGAAATAATTTATATTTAATTACTTACCATCATGAGACGTCTTCCCGCAAAAGATATTTGGCCAAAAGTGTGCGGGGTCACTAACTTCTGACCACTCACCGGATCGACCCGGTTTCGGACGGCCGAACACTTAGCCGCAGTGGTTTGGGCATGCGGGTCCAGCCAATACGCCTTCAACCCGTTCCAACAGGAAGTGGACATGGAGCTCGGCTTTGCGTCGTCTCTATCGGTCTCCCACTTCCGCTTCCAATCGGAAACGATGTTGACTAGGCGTTTCTGCGCCTTCAGCCGGAAAGCTTCGCGAACCGTCTCGTTGATCCCGATGTCCCAGTTCCACCGTTGCTGCTAAAAAAAACAAAAAATTAGATAAAAAATATAAAAGTAAGATTAATTAAATTTAAAACAATTTAAAATGATATAAATAAGATTTTAAAAACATTACCGCGAAGCATTTGTACCAGGTGTCGAACGTCTCTTGCGACACCTTGCTCCAATTGTAGTGCGGCTCCACGAAATGACTCTTAATTGTGTCGGAAACGCTCCGAACGACACAATTATCCAAATCAAACCTATGAAAACAAAAAAAAAACTTATTACATTAATATTTAAGTAAATTAAAGCATTAATTTTAAAAAAATATAAAAAACAAAAAAAGTTTACTTACCAATAAGAGCCTGGTTTCGCTTTTCTGGGAACCAGACGTCGTAAAGCCCCCCGTCCCGGTAGGGCTAGTAAATCCTCAACCGTAAACTGGGCATACTGATGAGGAGGGGCGGGTACCGGTTCGGCAGTCGGCGGTGGAGGAGGTGGTGGTGGAGGCGGTGGTGGAGACTGCTCCGCGGTATTCGGAACCTGGGAGGCTCCGGAAGATGAAGGGATATCGGTCCCGGTGTTTCCCGAGGCAGACGCCCAGGAAGAGTGTCTGTCCGCCATGAAATTGATGTAATGCGTCCTCCGTCGAGTCATTGTCTGCAAAACCGATAAAATTTTATTTTTCAAATTAATTACAATTAATTTTTAATTACAATCCTAAATCTAACAAATTCCGATCCTAAGCTCAAACTAATTCCCGACCTAAACCGTTTGAATTTCTAAACTATTTAATAATATTATAATTTTAAGTAATTAAAAAAAAATTACCTTTTTTGCGTCAAAAGGAGGAGGAATGCAAGGGAAGAGGAAGCAGAGAGAGAGGAAGAAGTGATGAGCGACGAAATGAGGAAGGGATGCGGTCATATATATAGAATTTATTTTCCTCGTAAATTCGACGGAAATATTACGACGAATTTACGACGGATTCGTCGTAAATTTGTCGTAATGGTCCCACCGTACAAGAAAGCAAATAAGACAAACACACATGGCTGTATCTGGGCTTTGCGACGATTTTACGATGATCCGTGTTATTCGTCGTAAAATCGTCGTAATGTTACGACGATTTTACGACGAATCGTATAAATCATAAAAATTAAGACGGCTGTGTATCCACAAATCGTCGTAAATTCGTCGTAATATTACGACGAATTTACGACAAATTATTCCAAAACTTGAAACATCCATAAGCACATACAAGCATGTCTATTCATGATAAATGTGGTCTGTATAACTTTCTAGCATGTTTACATAACTTAATGAAGAATTTAGTAAGATCTAAGATAAATCCTTACATCTTGTGTAAATGTATATAACACCTTAAGATTACTTGATAAACACATATATGTCAAATTTTGAATTTTTTTTTTTTGTTTAGAAAGTTGTTTTACCTTATGAGATGGTAAGCCAATCATTCTCTTCATCAAAATCCCCCTAAACCCCAGAAAAGATTGATTATAAGATTTAGGGGTTACATTTCGTCGTAATCTCGATGGTATATTACGACGAATTTACGATGATCACACCCATTCGTCGTAAATTCGTCGTAATAAAAACCACATATCTACAAGTTCCTGAACCTTATACTACAGACCCTTATATAATACATCAGTTTACTTGGGAAAATGAACCCAAAAACCATTCTGTAAGTTGGGAAAGCTAAACCCTATAGGGTTTAGGGTTTGCATTTTACGACGAAGTTACGACGATTTCTAAATAATCATCGTAAATTCGTCGTAAAAGTCAACATATGTCCAAGTCAACACTTTAACAAATTTTATTTTCATTAATTGGCTTTAATTTTTCAAAAATTTAAATTTGACAAATGTTACATTGAAACATGCAATTAAATGTCAACATATTTAATTAGTCTTCATCAACATTTTCCTCGTGTCCTCATTATCATTGTCATCATCACTGCTTGTTTGCAAAAACACATCAAGGGCCCGCTTCGGGTGATTTGGACCAAGGACTAATATATTTAGGAACAAAAACTCTCTTTGCATGCACATATCTGGAGGAAGGTTATATGGCGTAAGAATCACAGGCCATAATGAATATTGCCTACCAGACATACCAAATGGACTAAACCCGTCAGTGCAAAGACCAAGATAAACATTTCGCTTAGACCTAGCAAAGTCTGGATGTACGGTGTTAAAATGTTTCCAAGATTTCCCGTCAGACGGGTTAGTCATTTTGCCATCTGTTTGTGAATGTTCCGCATGCCATCTCATCGACGCAGCTGTCCGTTCAGATTGATATAGTTTTTTTAACCTATCAGTGATAGGAAGATACCACATTCGTTGGTAAGGAATCTTCTTACGCCCAGCAATTTGCGCTCTATATCTTGGCTTTTGGCAGAAACGACATTCTTCAAGCTTCTCATCATTTCTCCAAAAAAGCATACAATTATCAACATAAAACACAATCATCTCAGAAGGCAATCCAAGACTAAAAACCAGCTTCTGAATTTCATAGTATGTTTCAGCAGCCAAATTATCATCTGGCAAAAACTCTTTAATAAGATCTGCCCAATCGTTCATGCAAACTTCAGATAGATTGTGATCAGTTTTTATTGTCATCATCCGAGCTGCCAATGATAATTTTGATAAACCTTCCCTACATCCCTCGTACAGAGGCTGTTTTGCTGCGTTTAACATATCATAAAAGCGTTTCACATCTGCATTGGGCTCCTCAACAGTATCAGCATGTGTTTCATGAAATGCATCAGTAACCATTTCATGCATCCTATCATGATCTTCACCCTGAACTTGACTACTTTGATAATCATTGGACGCTTCAAAATCCACATGTTCTTGATGATTACTACTACTCTGTGCAGCCATCTGACCACTACTTTGACCATATCCCTCTCCATGCTGATACCAAATAAATTATTGGAGCTTGAACCCTCTATTCAATAAATGCTGCCAGACAATGTCAATAGGAATATGTTTCATATTTTTGCATTTCACACAAAGACAATACATTTTGCCGCTTTCAATTACAGTTTGCATAAGGCCGGCTTGGTACATGAATATTTCCAATCCGTTTTTGAAGTCTTCAGTCAACGACCCATCACCATTTTTGGGCGTATACATCCACTTTCGTAGATCGTATATAGACATTTCAAAAACAAATATTTGACTTTTTGTTTCTGAAATTTGATATAAATTTCAACTACTAAAAATTTTACTTAAACATTCAAAGACTCAAAAAATTTGTGTCTTTATATGTTTTTTTGAGTTGATGGAATAATGAGAGAAGAAAAGGTATATATAGAATTTTTTGTTTGGTTACCAACATATTACCATTGCATATTTACATCAAATTTACGTCGAAATAAAACTTACATCACATTTACATTGATTTTACGTCAATTACAAGATAGAGGACAATTAGTCGTATTATCGATGTAAATATTACGACAACATTACGACGAATTAAAATTCGTTCTTCATTCGTCGTAATATCGTCGTAACATCACGACAATTTTACGAGAGTCATTCTTTACGTCGAATTTACGACGAAATTTAACGTCGTCGTAAATTTACGACGACTAAAAATCGTCGTAACTAATTCGACGGAAAAACCCCTCATTCTTGTAGTGAATCATATGTTTGGAACCAATTTATGGTGTTTTAATGGTCGAAGAATTCACTAATGTGAATTGATTTATCAGAGTTTCTGAATACCTTTATTATGATTTAAATCATGATTGACTAAAATAAGTTTTACAATGACAAAATCTTCGACGTTTTCGCATATTTAAGACATTAGTCTTATCTTTTTGATATGAGATTCCCGGTAACTAAATAAAATACAATGCGGAATTCGAATTACGCTTTTATAATGTGCTCTCTCTTTTATATGATAAATAAAAAGATATACATTGGAGTAGAGCTTGTCACAAATATCACCAAGATTTAAAGTATCCACTCAATTACAGTGTGCTCTTATAGATAGCAGCGCCAAATGATAATCACATATTGACATGCACGCTTTTTCTTATTTCTCATCAGGTAAAAATTCCTTGAAGATTTAGATAACGAGAAGTTTGTAGAGAACAAATAATAGAAAAAGCTAATATCCGTTGAGACAAAATACAAAAAAAAAAAAACTATCCCATTTGAATCGCTACATATCCACTCTAAATCAAATAAATGTCTTACCTGATGGCCACATTCCACATTACCATAACCTTAAAAAAAAAATTCCTCACACAGACAATTAATGCTCATTTAAATTAAAATAAAATAGTGAAACAACAACAATTTAGTGAACACTAGCGTTACATAACGTAGATCACAATAACTAAACAGATGGCAGTTTCAACTATTGCATCCCATACGGTCAAAAGAAGCCTTTAGTAATGCACCGGCGTCGGAAAAGTACACGGTGGCGGAGGATACACAGACGGTTGCGGAGGAGGCGACGGATAAATATATGGTGGCGGAGGAGGCGAAGGAGACACATATGGCGGCGGTGTAGGCGATGGTGGTGGCGGTGACGGTGGCGGAGGAGGCGGTGGACTAGGCGGAGAGCAACCAAAGGAGGCACAATCAATAGGATAAGAAGAAAAAGATTTACATTCGGCGGGAGACCGTTGCATTGGCCTCAACGGTAAACAATTTCTCCGATCATCAAACTCCTGAAGCCTAAGACAAACCGGTGGCTCGCCGGAGAAGAAGTTATCAGAGTAAGTGAAGTTCTCGAGGTTCGGTAGCCGGCAGATACTCTCCGGAATCTTGCCGGAGAATTTGTTATGAGCGATTTTTAACTGCTCCAAACTCTTCATATCACCCATAGTCTCCGGCAAAGAACCGACCAAGCTGTTAAAACTCACGTCAAAAACCGTCAACTGGTTTAACAAACCGATTTCCCGGTTTAAACAACCGGTTAAGTGAGTGTTGGAGAGGATAACCTCATGCAACGTCTTCCCCATGTTGTAGAAACTCGGAGGTACACAGGATCCTTGGAGATCGTTGTTGGCCAAAACAAGAACCGAAACCGGAGAGTTTCCGATGTTTTCCGGTAACCTAAACCGGAATTTGTTGTCGTTAATGAAGAGAGCGTCGAGGTTTAGGTCAAAGAGTTGGCTAGGAACATCGCCGTAGAAACCATTGAACCTAATGTCAAGAAACTTCAAAGAAGGCAAAGAGAAGATCACGGAAGGAAACTCGCCGGAGAGTTTATTGTTGCTGACGTCAAGCTCGTGAAGAAGTTTGAGACATTTTAGAGTTTTGGGGAGTTGACCTTCGAAACGATTTGAATTGATGTGGAACAAGGCAAGATCGGTTAAGAGACCGAGCTCTAACGGGAGATAACCGGCGATGTTGGCCCGGTTTAAGTCTATACCGGCTACGGTTAAGACGTAAGGGTTATCTAGAGCCGGTGCACAGAACACGCCTGTGTAGTTACAAACATGAGGACCACACCAGTTTGAAGTGAAGCCGTTTGGGTCTGAAGTTATGGTGAGTTTCCAAGCTTGAAGAGCTGCGTAAGCTTTTAAGAGCCTTGGGTTTAAGATCGGAGGAAACCAGTTCGGAGCATGTGCGGAGCAGGGGTTGGTCAGTGGAGTTTTGTAAGTGAAAGCTTGAGGAAGGAGGAGGAAGAAGAAGATGATGAAACAAGAAGTGGCCAAGAAACGCCATTGGAAGAAGAAGGTTTCTTCTTTCATTTTTTGAGATGGCTTTTGTGTTGTTTTGGAAATGGGACCAAGTATAAGGTTGTATATGTATAAGGAAAAGGGTGTAACCACTTCCGTTGAAAATTTAGTTTTTTTTTTTTTATGTAGGAAAGTAATTGTAGATGAACAATTTCTAGTGGTTATCTATTGAAGAGTCAATCTTTAATTTTAGTGTGTTTGATGTTTTAGTAATATTTTGTAACGATGATTAATTCAAATGTGATGATAAAAATGTTTTATTAAAGAATAATGGGTGACAGGGGAGCATTGATTTGACTTTCGTTGGTTTGGTAGAGAAGGTCAGAATTAGCGAAGAATGTTCTTTGATCCTTAATCATGCATCTACAGTTTACATGGTCTAACCTCTGTATCCTACCAATCCGATTTTTATTTGTTTTTTTTGTAAGAAATCAAAATGGTAATAAAAATATAAAACATTAAAACTTATTTTTAACAGTTTTTCGGGATGTAGACAAGGAGTATTACAAAGATGCAATTCTTTACATTTGGGGACACCGGATCTAAGACTATCTCCAATGATAGTCAATCCATTCTGGGGATCTAAATCATTAAATGTTAATATTTTAATACAATATAGTTATATAATTAAAATTTTAATTTTAAAATTTATACTACCCAATGAAAAACTAACACATATAGAATTTATAAAAAAAGGGGTTCTAAAACTAGAATTTTAAGAGCATGATTAACGCGGGCTTTAGTTGGATTTTTACAGAAACCTAATAATTTTTTAATGAGCCAGCGTCTCCAAAAAGCCTAAGACGTCTCCTATTTGGCGACATTTTTACGCGTTTCTATCTCCACGTGGCAACGATCTATTGGTTAAAAAATGAAGAGATATTTTTTTTTCTATCTCCTCCTTCCTTCGATTGTTTACGAAAACATTCTCGACAACTTTCTTTTCATCTTTTCTCTCTTTTTTCCTGGCGAAATCGACGGTGAACGATTTGTCTCCGGCTCCGGCAGGTTCTGAAAGGGTTGGCGGTTCTGATACGGAGGAATCAGGGGTGGAAACGTGACTGCGAAAGGGGAGGCGAAAGAGATAAGTCATCTAAATCCTAATTTCGTTTTGTGTGTTGTTTGTTTGTCGATTGGTAATCTGCGGTCATCTAGTTCTGTGTATTCCCTTGGCTTTGAATTCGTCTATTATATGATTTGTATTATTAGGTTGAGATTGGACAAAATCGAAATCTTTGAGTCGGGAACCCTAATTTTGGAAATTGGGGATTTGTTATGTGATGAAATTTCTGGGTTGGTTTCGTCTTTTTGGGGATCCTTTGAACGAGAACTGTGTAATCGAAGGTAGTATCATCTTTGTTCTCTGTAATCGAAGCTTGTTTGAGTATTTGGGAAACCCTAATTCGGGAAATTGGGGCTTTTGTTATTTGAGAAAATTATTGAGTCCTTTTCGTATATTTTGTGGTAGTTTGATATGATTTGATTGTATATGAACAATATTTCGATTATCAATGGAATTGGTGGACTCGATTATCTTATATGTTTCGGTGCAGGGTTTGTAGTCATGATGCTTTTGGTTGGTCGCATTTTACTCATCATCTTCTTTGTCTGTCGTTTGTCCATAGTTTGTTTCATGATTCTTTCTTTCTCTTGTATTTGCTGTTTTTTATTCTTATATCTTGTTTATATATTTGGAGTAGAGGTTTCGTTTGTTTGTTCTGTTATTAATCAGGCACCAATTTAAATGGCAAGGGTCAGGTACCATTTCGTAGCAAGCCTCATCCAGATAAGTAATCGTGTTTGCTTTTATGTTCACTTTATTCAGCTTTGATATGTCTTTATGTGTCTTAACGGTTTTTTTTTAAATGGAGCGTAGTTGGCATTGATTTGGAGCGTAGTTGGCATTGATTTGGAGCGTAACCAAATGCCTGAATCCTGCTTCATCGTAACTAAATGGTCAGGTAACAGCATCTCCCTTGTAGTTGTAATTAGTGAATAGATATGATGTCTAGAGTTGTTAGGTGGTAATAAATGGTGATTTAGGTTTATGTCATGTCCATCTTTAAGTGCTTGTTGTTTGTTGAAAATAGATAGTGGGTAGATGTGTGGGAATTTAAGTTTGTCATTAAAACCTACTGTCTAAACAATTACTAAACCCCATGCCTCGTACCCGTCATTAACCGGTAGATCGCTCTTATTCGACAAGTATGCCTACCAATGTTCGAAATATGTTGGATACTCGGAAAAAAGTTCGTTCCACTCAAATACATGACTAGTTGCAAGAAGATTTGATGGAGCATGTATGGCAAAAATTTGGCCATTTATATAACAATTAAGTTTTTTGTTATTTTGTAAGTTTAGTTTGTTCAAATTTAAATGCATGTATTGTTAAGCTTTAATGAAATAAGTTTGTTTAAAAAATTTGTTTTATTTTAATTTTGTAAAATAATTTTTTTTTTTTTTGGAAACCCATTTGGGTCTCTCTATTGCACACCTAAAAGACTAAGTCTCTAGAATAAGTTTTTAATCTAACTTTTTGTCCATAAACTAATTAAATATTGAGCTGGAGACCCATGAGGGTCTCTCCATTAAGGTTGCTCTAAGAACCTTCTCTCCTATTTTTCTATTTTTTTTTTATTTTAAATTTTAAGAGCCTCTTTACAACTCTCCATTGGAGATGCTCTAACAGCTTTCATGACTTGTTTTATTTATAGGTTTTTGACGAAATACAAATAGAGTAAAAGCTGGTTTAGAGAAAGATAATAAAATAGAGCAAGTAGTGTTTGATTATGTAAAGCCAAAAAATATATTTGTAACTCCTATGTAACCATTAATGACAATATTGGGAAACGAACTCTCGAGCTACATGTGTTATTAGCCCGTTGAACAGTACACGAAGAAAAAAATTAACAAAGTAGATTCTTAGGCTTTGATCGGTAAATTTGCGGAATGACAGAATGGTAAAAAAAATCTTGTGGAATAAACTGCGGAATGACTTTTCTTTTGTATTTTCATTAAGCAAAAACGCAGTCTGTGTTTTTTTGTGTATTTTCTCATTCCGCGGATTTTTATTGCTTGGCAAAAAACCTGCGGAATTGTGTTTAAAAACGCAATTTTACCATTTCCGCAAGTTACCAATCATAGCCTTACTCTTAAGTAGGCCTACGGACTACGACAATTCCCTTGTTTCTTCGACACAAAGTATACGATCCAGCACATACTATATATATAAAAAATTCATAGTTTCCTAAAGCGCATTTACTAAAACGAATCGGATGGTTGTTACTTGTTAATTACTACCAGAAACACGGTTTAGTAAGCTTTTAGACCACTGTTATTTAATTATAATATCAATTTTCCTAAAAAGCTTGAAAGCATGAAAGTATTTTTAAACTCAAAACAAATGTTGAAAACTGTGAATTGGGACAAAAACAAAATCTCCCGTTTGATCGCTACTTTAATTATAAATTTTTAACACAACTTGTTGGTCACTAGAAGACTAGGTCTTTCATAGTGTGATCTATTTTTAAGAACTCCACAAAATAAAAGAAAGTAATTGTTCACTATGTATTTCATTTACGTTTGATCCGTTGATATATAATCAAGTTAATTTTTCATGTACTGATATTATTTTGAGAGTTGGCGTGTAGCTAAAAAGAAAACGTGTAGACTTTCGTATATACGTATGTATGCACGTATGTACACGTATACACAGCTCCTATTTTATCAGGCAACTTGATAGTTCTTTTCTTCTGTTGATCCTAAGATTTCTTCAAAATCGACCTTGATGGCCAGGTCAAACGTTTATCACAATCTCCGATAAACTATCAAAGATTCATAGTTGTTGAAAATCAGTGAACCTAGCGAGAGCACGATATATCATCGATAATACAATAGTCTCCACTTGGTTATGAAAAAAAAAGACGTTACTTAAAAACTTTTTTACCTTTTATTATTTTTTAAATGTTATTTAAATATGTCGCTACAAACAGATGTTAAGAGAAATTGTAACGTTTTCCGCGTTAACGAAATCTTCTTGTTTGGATCAGTTCACCAAATATGTATTACTGTATGTAGGGGATTCTCAAAAGAATTGCTTCAAAAACCGTATGCAAAAGAAAATCTTGCGTTAGATGAGTTTTTCTTTTCTTTTTTGCATTCATATTTGGATAGAAAAATGGTAATGCAACCCGCCAAATCAATCTGAGGATGGGTCAAGGTCCACGTTTTGTGTATATAGGTTTCCAAGGTCTGGCCCATCAAGCGGTCCAAAAGAATTTGTAATCCCATCCAGCTTTATAGTGCTTGATCTCGATCTAAATTCGGTATGCAAAACAAATAATGTCATGAATCTCAAGAACCATTGGTTAGAAGATTTGAAGTTATTCAAAACAAATGTTTTTGGTGTTAAAATGGGAAGTATGTTTCACTTTAGGTTCATAAGTAAAAAGGTTATTCACATAGAACAAAATAATGTTATGTCTTCTACTCTTCTTATAAGTTTCACTTCAAATACTCAGTTCAATAATGAGAATCAATTGATGATCTAAATTCGGTATATCAATAATGAATTGCCTCATTTTGCTGGTCACACTTGGACTCAGAAAAAATTTCCTGATGTCTCTCTTCATTTATGTCTTCTTGCCATTTATCACTCTTTTAAAATAGTAGCCAGACTTCAGTTCTAAATTCTTCTTTTTTTTTGCTTTAAAAATAATATATGCTCATGGATGGGTTGAAATTTACCATTACCATTAATTAAGTGAAGTCATTCCTCTATTGTCACTATTTCAAGGTAGAGCTCCTTCAATTCTTATTCAAAATTTTAATTTTGTTTGATTCAATTATGAAGAAACTGAAACACTGTGTAAAATGTTTTTTTTTTTTAAATTAAAGTCATGCAAAAATCTAAACATAAATAATAAATTTACCAGAAAATTAGCTGCGGAATTAATCAATTAATTATCTCTAAAGCCCTTATTTCATACTTTATTAATAAATATATTATCTTTTTTAAGGCGAGAGAGAGAGAGAGAGTAAAGGAAAGCATTGAAGCTGAATAGGAAAAAAAGCAGTACGAGTCTATGACTATATGAGTGATATATTACTCTCATTGTCACTTATCACAAAATCGCATCGTTCGCTTCCATCTTACAATCAAACCCCATCACTCTCCCTCTCTCTCTCCCAATGGAAAAATCCGTGTTTGAAAAATGGCGACCCGACCCGATTTACCGGCCACCGGAGACGCCATTAGAGCCGATGGAGTTTCTCTCTCGCTCGTGGAGCGTCTCAGCTCTCGAGGTATCCAAGTCCCTCGCTCCTTCGAAGACCTCAAGCGACACCGTCATTCTCGAAGACGAACCTACGGAGTCTGTGAGTGTTTTTCTTTACCTTTTTCTCTTCATTTTTTTTTTCTTTTTGGGGAAAAACAGAGCATTTGCAGACAAAACGGAGAATGTTGACAAATTTCTTCTGACCTGACTCTCAAGTTCTAAAATTTGTTTCTTTTACTCAATCTCATCGAAATTCCCAAATGGGTCATTCCAATTCCATGGGTACTATACGATTTCTGGGCTTAAAGATCACATTTTTTTTCCATTAGCTATGTTGTTCATGAATCATGAAATTTTCTCAGTGGGTTTGAACAAAGGAAAGATTTTTTTCACGCGCAATGATTTTTAATCATACATTTCTTCCTTAATAAAACACTCAGCTTTCCTGGGCCCTATATGCATAATCACAAAAAGTTTGGAGTTTTCTTTGATATAAAAAAAAGCTAACAACAAGTCACTGTTGTTTAATTTGTCTTCTTTCTTCTTTCTTCTTATGCGATTTTTGCCCTCTGTTTTGCAGCAGGAAGTGTCGCCACGAACATCTGGTCGGCTTTCTCAGAGCAGCGGTCCTTTCAACGGTTCTTTAACCGACAGTCCTCCGATTTCGCCGCAGGAAGTCCACGACATCAAGGTAAAACATTCGTATCATGTTTAAGTCTGATTATGAAATTAAATCTAGTGATAATGTGTCTTGGTTTCTGCGTTAGAGCGTTTCTCTCCATGTAAAATATTTTTGATTTCAGGAAGAAAAAATCTCTTTTCTTTACCCAAACATACCCAGAGATGATAATATCTTCGTTTTTTGGTTTCTTCGATGAGAACATTCGTGGATTTAAACGTTTCTTTTCTCGGAAACTTAATTTTTGTTTATTTTAATCTCTTTAATCCTCTTACTCGATTTGTTTATTCCTTTTTTTTTGTCATTGTTCATCACTCTTGTAAGACTTTCCTTAATTAGATTTTATCCGCTTTGTGCTGAATTAATTACTTAAATTGATTTTGTTAAATGTTTTGATGCCTCAAATTTTGGACATTTTTCCCCTTATGCAGCAATTTTGCCGATCAAACAATATCACACAAAACTTCAACTCTCAGTTCCGTTCAACGGCGAACACTCCGGGACCTATCACGGCAACAACCACACAGTCCAAGACGGTGGGTCGGTGGCTAAAAGACCGAAGAGAGAAAAAGAAGGAGGAGACTCGGGCCCACAACGCTCAGATTCACGCCGCCGTCTCCGTCGCCGGCGTGGCCGCTGCGGTGGCTGCTATTGCGGCTGCAACCGCCGCTTCGTCGAGCTCTGCAAAAGATGAAGAGACGGCGAAAACAGACAAGGCCGTGGCTTCTGCTGCAACACTTGTGGCAGCTCAATGCGTGGAAGCTGCGGAATTGATGGGAGCTGAGAGGGAGTATTTAGCCTCCGTTGTTAGCTCCGCCGTGAACGTTCGATCCGCCGGAGATATAATGGCATTAACCGCCGGAGCAGCCACAGGTTCGTCCTTAACTTTAATCTCTCTGTTTATTGACATTTTGGTGATTCTGAAATTTGATTGTCTGAGACAAAACATCTTATCACTGATGTATCTCCTTAGGCATTATCAGTCTATAACTTGAGTCTATGAAGGGATTCACTAAAGTTTCGAAAGTAACTAACAAAACTGAATCAAGGACTCTCTTTTCACCCATTGTTTAGAGTTTGAGTAAGAAATTGAAATACTTTTATAGTAAAAACATTTTTGAAATTGAATGTCTTTGTTTGTTTGTTTGTGGTGTAGCTCTGAGAGGAGTGGCTACATTGAAGGCGAGGGCGATGGAGGAGGTGTGGAACATTGCATCAGTTATTCCAATGGATAAAGGAATCAATCCTGGAGGTTGCAGCAATGTTAATACTAACGGCAACAGTAGCAATGGCAGTTCGAGCAGTAGTCACAGTGGTGAATTTGTAGCTGAAGATAGTTTTTTGGGACATTGCAGCAGAGAATGGCTTGCTCGAGGCTGCCAACTCCTGAAACGCACCCGCAAAGGTAAAAACGTTAATAAGTTAACAGTGATCTCTTGTTGTAATCTCAAATGCGAGTTAGTTTCTTGGATCTTTTTCTTGTGGGGAGGTCTAATGTTATGGTTTTGGCAGGTGATCTTCATTGGAAAATAGTGTCTGTTTACATAAACAGGGTAAATCAGGTTAGACTCTGTCTTTCTTGTTTCTTGAGTTTCTTCGATCTCTTTTTTTGAGCAATGATATCATTAAATATAATCTGATGAATTTTGAAGAGAGAAAAAGGATTAAACAGAAGAGAGAAAAAAGATTAAAGAGAAGAGAGAAAAAAAGATTAAAGAGAAGAGAGATACACTATTAGCGAGACAGTGAAAACTTTTTGTCACTCACATGAGTGTGATCTTGTTAAAAGAATACAAAGAAAAAAACATGAAATTGAGATATCAGAGACCAAAAAAGAAGAGAAAGCGGAAACGAACATAAGGATTAAAAATAATGATTTTATGATTTGTTTTTAGTCTTATGACTAAAACCATTCTTGGAATCACCCTTATGATTTTGATTGTTGGACATGAAGGTTATGTTGAAGATGAAGAGCAGGCATGTTGGAGGGACCTTCACAAAGAAGAAAAAGAGTAAGAGAGATTAACCCTGTTTATGAATACTGTTATCGATTACTAAAACTTATCGAGAACATGTGGTGCTAGATTTCTCTAAATCCCTCCATAACATCATTCAAGATCAGAGAATTGATTTGATATTCTTATAGTACTGATGTGATATAACTAAAGGTGAAAGCTTTAGTTTTGTCATTGTCTTCTAATACTATCAATAATATGAGAATTCAAAACTTTGATGTGGGTCTACTTTGAACTTGGGGATTTGATATTTCATAGCTTTTTTTGTTTGTCTTTCTTTTGAATGTGAACATCAAGACTCTTCTTAGTCACATTCTCCCTTTATAGTTCATTTGCCTGACCGTTTGTCTTCTTAAATATTCCTTCAGATGTTGTGATTGAGGTGATCAAAAACGTACCGGCTTGGCCAGGCCGCCATTTGCTAGAAGGAGGAGAGGATTTGAGATACTTTGGATTAAAAACGGTTCTGCGAGGGATTGTAGAATTTGAGTGCAGGAGCCAAAGAGAGTATGAGATGTGGACACAAGGTGTCTCAAGGCTTCTTTCTGTTGCTGCCGAGAGGAATAACAGATATAGGTTATGAAGGAGTAGTTTAAGACTTAAGAGCGACTGTTTTGTGGAGGATATCGTGTCACTGATGTTTAACTTATGGGGCCAAATTAGAACTTGGAGAAAGTTGAGGGGTTCTTTTCGATAAGGTATATATAGGATGAAATGGGCCCTTTCTAAGGGTGGGTTGGTTAAACAAAACTTTGGTGTTTGTAAATTTGCTTTTTAGTGCCTCTTAGTTTAATTTTGAAGTTTATATATGGGCCCTTTCTGAGTGTTTTGTTTTGGGTAAAATCCTAAATATCTTTATGAATTTATTGAATATTCAATTTTATTTTTATTGTTCGATGGTCCGTGGATCTAGTTTCCCTTTTTTTTTTATATATATAAACAGCAGTTTACAAATACAAATGGATCTATGAATTTTACATTGTTTCATCCATTGGCCCAAGTCCATAGGGGGGGCTCTTTTTCATCAAAAGACATGATGAATGCACTTGAAGAATCACATGGTGATTAACGCAAAAAGGATAATTAAGATACAAGAGGCTAAGAGAAACCTCTTGAGAATCAGAAAAGCATTGATGACTTTAGGGGGTTATCCTTTTGGATGGAAGGAGACTCCGGTTCTAACCATAATGGTAATATTAATGACTCAATATTATATGAAAAATTTGAAGTGTGTCCATGTTAGTTGTGTATAGCCTTTAATCCCTCTATCTCCATATAGCTCTTAGGTCAGCCCTTTGTGTCATATTATGGAACACCAAGACCCTTATGGTGCTCAGACTAAACCGCAAGATTTCCCTTACTAAGTTGATGGTTTCAAGAATTGAGAAGGTTACAATTACTAACCAAATTAATAACAGTCTTGCTATCAGGACATGCGGTATATATAGAGAGAACGGTCAGTAGATCTCGGAGCACCATTATGGTGTTTTTTCTTACGCTTAAGTTATAAGTTGGCCACGTGAATTGTTGAAAGACGCAAACGACAGAAAAGTGAGAAAACAAGAACGAGTGTGCTTCCAAGAAGTTGGAAGTGTTTCGAGAGGATCTTTGAATGCACGAAGATTAAAAAAAAATGACCAAATGTCAAAATGTCTAAGTGTATCTTAACTACTAAATTTTAAGACGTTTCCAAGCGTAAGAGACTCGAGTTTCCAAGCATAATAAGGATATATGTGTCTAAGTAAGATCGTTTTCTGATGATTATTAAAAAATAAAAAAAGTGAAAAAAGCATAGTAACATATTTGATGTGATTGATACTTTTTAATGTCTTTTTTTTTCATTGACGAAAATTATCACGTCAATTATCACATGTATTATTCATTCGCTTGTCTGAAGTTCTGAGACGAAAATGTTAAAGATTACAATATCTGAAATTCCATGATTTCGAACCAAGATTTACATTAGTCTCAGAACTCCATATATATATTCTTATTACTGGATCTTTAGTGTTCAATTATTATGATATAACCATACTTACTTTTTGGTTTTTTAATACTTTGGTTTTTTTTAATCAAAAGAAAAAAGACTTCTTTACAACTTTTTTGGAAAAAGAGTTTAAAAAGAAAGCTTGATTTTCATAATTTTTTCCACTCGTTTAAACGGTTCTAGTCGAGAACCAAACTTGTAGGCCGTCTTCGTAGTGCAAGCTACCCGCCATTCTTATTGAGCAAAGCTGGTTTCTAACATTTGTATCAATCATTTTCACTAGACTTCCAGCTGGTAATAATCTCCTCCATGCCTTCCACTGTTCCTTTCTCTCCAAATGGAGTGAATTGCGGTTTGAAAAGAATATCTGAGGAGGAATAGAGTGGTCCTGTCCGCAGTAGTCTGTGTGATCTGATCCAACACTTGATTCCATTGCAGTGTAAATCTGTCTTTCAACAGGCCCTGTGTTAGCTTCCTCCACACTACCTTCGTATAAGTGCAAGTGAAGAAAAGATGGTCTTTTGTCTCCACTTGATCACCGCAGAAGACACAGCATGCATCTACACTCTGGCTCCAATTCAACATTTTGTCTCCCGTGGTCAAGCGATTTTTGATAGCCAACCATGTCAAAAACGAGTACTTTGGGGTCGCATGGGAGAACCATACTCCCTTATGCCACATCACCTTGGCCCTCGCTATCCTGATCTGGTCCCCTGTATCTTTGGCACTGAAACTTGTTTTGTAATGACCATTTTTCCTTCTCCATTCAGGCTCATCTTGCGAGTGAGTATTACGCTGAGTTCTCATATAAACGATTCTTCCTCAATGCCCTGTAATTGAGTTTGACGGTATCTTCTTCTCCTTGGCCTATCCATAACCATCGCAAGAGTCATGTGCTTCGAAATTCCCATATCAACAAAACCTCTTTCACCCAGTAGATCAATCAAACAGCCTTTGTTACTCCAGGAGTCATACCAGAAAGATATATGTTCTCCATTACCAATCTTCATGCGATACAAGGTCTTCGCCATGTCCCTGTATTTAAGAAGTTTCTTCCACATCCATGAACCCATAGTGGTGGTGTCTTTGACTGCCCAGAAGGAGCCCTCTTTAATGAGTTGCGTTTTTACCCTTTGTACCCACAGTGAGTTTTGCGATATAATCCTCCAAATAAGTTTAAGGCAGCAGGTTTTATTTGCTATCTCCACTGACCGCAGACCCAAACCACCCTCATCTTTTGGTGTACAGACTTCTTTCCATGCCACTTTTGCTTTTTTGTGTTTAGTGCAGGTAAAGACCATAAAAAAGCAGAGCAGAGCTTATCTATTTCCCAAATACAAGCTTTTGGCAATCTGAATGCTGCAATCCAGAAATTGACAATGCTGAAAATCACTGAATTGAGGAGCTGCAGTCTCCCTGCAAATAACAATGCTCTGACTGTCCAAGATGTGATTCGATTTCTTATATTCTCGATGAGAGGAAGGTAATCTGCTGCTCTCATTCTTCTAGTCAATAGAGGGAGTCCCAAGTATCTTACCGAAAGTTCCCCTTGCACTACAAGAAAGATCGGGTTTTACGTCGGCAGATATCCACATAAAATCGACGTAAAAGAGCATTTACGTCGAATTAACGACGAAAAAAAAATCGTCGTAAAACAGAAATCGTCGTAAAATTGTCGTAAAATTACCAACCCAGGAAAATCGTCTTAATATCGTCGGAAACTATTCGTCGTAAACGCGACGTAAATTTTCCAACGAAAGTACAATGAAATAAGTCCATCATAAGAACGACGTAAAATCGATGTAAAATTACATCGATTTTAACAACGATTAGGAGACGAATAATTTCAATTAAGGGAAACTAATTTTTTAATTGTCGATGTTAAATCGTCGTAAAGTTTCGACGTAAATCCGACGTAAACATATTCGACGTAAATCTGTCGTTAAATATTCGACATTAGATCGACGTAAATTTACGACGAATTTACGTCGATTTATAAATTAATTATTTAATTCAATTTTAATTTAATTAATGAATTTTTAAAATAATCAAAAAATTAAAAATAGAAAAAAACAATTTAAATTGAAATTTAAATTCGAAAATAATTTATAAATAAAAGAAAAAATTTAATACAAATTGTTTTTAAAAAAAAATCTAATCTACAATGTGATTTCGTAATCATCGAGGTTGAGATCGACGTCACGAGGAGGCTCTCCGTCTTGGCCGCCCGTCGCTGTTGGACCGTCGTTTCCCGTCTGCACTACCGGAGCCGAAGACTGACTCTGCGTCTGCTGGTCCGATGGTCCAGTACCAGAAGTACCACCGGTCTCAAAGACCCCTCGTGCTCGTTGTTGCCTCGCTTGGATTGCGGTGGCCAACTGCGGAAGACTGACCCTGCGTCTGCTGGTCCGATGGTCCAGTACCAGAAGTACCACCAGTCTAAAAGACCCCTCGTGCTCGCTGTTGCCTTGCTCGGATTGCGGTGGCCAACTGCGGAACCGCTTCCGCAATGATGTCGAAGAGACCGTGCATCTCGATGAGCTCCAGCTTCTGGGCCACTTGCTCATGCCTGAGAGTAGTGATCTCAGCATTGGCCATAGCAAGCTCTTGGCGAAGATGACTCGGATCCTCCTGCGTGCGAAATCCGGAAGCCGAGGCGGCAGGACAGTCTCTAATAGAGCCCATCCCTAAGGTTCGGCCCTTCTTCTTCGGAGCAACCTACAAATGGAAAATAAAAACGTTAATTATTTATTAAGTAATAAATATAATAAATTTTTAAAAAATTGAAATAGATCATACCTCCTCGAAAATCTGGTCTTGCTCAGCGACGGTCAACGGTACTTGGATAGTACCGTCAGGTGTGGCTTGGGTCTCCCGCTCGGCGATCCGCTGCATAGCGGCATTGTAGATCTCCTCTGACCGAGCGTCGACAAAGCTCCCGTCCCTCTTCCGGTGAGTGGTCTCGAAGAGCTTCGTCATTGGAGGTAGTTCTCCTCCGTTCTCCTCGGCCTACCAATTAATAAACATTAGTCAAAAATATTTAATAAATTATAGCAATAATTAAAAATGAAATAATAATGAAATAATTTATATTTAATTACTTACCATCATGAGACGTCTTCCCGCAAAAGATATTTGGCCAGAAGTGTGCGGAGTCACTAACTTCTGACCGTTAGGACCGACCCGGTTTCTGACGGCTGAACACTTAGCCGCAGTGGTTTGGGCATGCGGGTCCAGCCAATACGCCTTCAACCCGTTCCAACAGAAAGTGGACATGGAGCTCGGCTTTGGGTCGTCTCCATCGGTCTCCCACTTCCGCTTCTAATAGGAAACAGTGTTGACTAGGCGTTTCTGCGCCTTCAGCCGGAAAGCTTCGCGGACCGTCTCGTTGATCCCGATGTCCCAGTTCCACCGTTGCTGCAAAAGAAAACAAAAAATTATATAAACAATATAAAAGTAAGATTAATTAAATTTAAAATAATTTAAAATGATATAAATAAGATTTAAAAAACATTACCGCGAAGCACTTGTACCAGGTGTCGAACGTCTCTTGCGACACCTTGCTCCAGTTGTAGTGCGGCTCAACGAAATGACTCTTAATTGTGTCGGAAACGCTCCGACCGACACAATTATCCAAGTCAAACCTATGAAACCAAAAAAAAAACATTACATTAATACTTAAGAAAATTAAAGCATTAATTTAAAACAATATAAAAAACAAAAAATTTTACTTACCAATAAGAGTCTGGTTCCGCTTTTCCGGGAACCAGACGTCGTAAAGTCCCCCATCCCGGTAGGGCTAGTAAGT